ATCTGTCTAGCCTTGAGTACACCAAGTTTTTAACTTAGGCAGATCTTCTCAGAGCCTACATCATAATAAACATAAGTAGCAAGAAATAAAATTAATGATAACTTTTTTTTGGACTCACATAAGTTAGGATATGATCTGGGAATGGCGTCCTTATGGGGAGATCCTGTGCCCACTGAAATGGCTCTCTACAGGGAGCTGCCTACACTGATCTGGTTGCCAATTCTGCTTGCTCTTTCTAGAGTTGTACTATTGAGGATGTTACAGGGTTCTCAGTTTCATCCGTAATGTTACTATTTGGTTACAAATCAGAACTTCCAATATCATCTGAAGAGAGACAAAAACCCATGTGCTTCTGTATGGCCATTGAATAAACGTGGAGATTCGCAGAATTACTGTTCATTTTTCCATCAGGAGTGTTCACTTAGAAAATTACCCACAAAGACTCTAAGAAGAAGAAGTGGATGCAGTTAAAATGCCAACAAATTGTATTAAAATTTCAGAAATAGAAACCAATCTTAGCAATGGTAGGTGGGCCTTCCTGGCCTTTCTCCCATGTTCAGGTGGCACCAGTAACAGTTTCAGTATGACTGTCATGTTTTTTCTGATTGATGGTTCTCTCCTGTAACAGATGATCAATTCTTTTTAATCCCACCTCTTAATGCAATAATATTGAATTATCTTATGAAAGACAGTGGAATAAGTTAGAAGCAAGTAAAAGAAATGTTAGTTTTCACAACCAGTTGGCACTGCTGGAATTCACTGTTACAGAAAGTCACCAAGTTTAATGCTCAGTTAGGTTTTTTCCTGTTTTATTTATTTTTAGCATAACTGTGTCTGATAACAAGCTTCATTAACTATGCAAGCTAAGGTAAAAATGTTAATTGACAGGAAGTGATGGCTTAGTAGGGTCAGGAGAGAATTTCTCCTGTCTCCCTTTCCCACTATGCACAGTGCAGAACAGTCAGATGAGTGCATAATGGTTGGTTGGTGATTTTTTTTCCTCTGAAGTTATAACTTACAGGCCTTCATGAAAAAGGTGTTGGAGCAAATGGAATGCCAGAATAACCTAGGGTGTAACTTGATTTCATCTCATTAAAGATTTTTTAAAGTTTAGGCAGTGTACTTGAAAATAAAATATCAAATTTAATGTGAAAAAGGTGTGTTTAATGCTCATGTGTGAGAATGGTAATACTTCCTATGTAATTTAGGACTGTATTAGTAAGACTTAGCTGCTCTCTTTATCTCTCAAAACTGAAGGTTGTCAGTGTGCCTGTCTTATCACTTTGTTAATTTCTTCAAATACCTGAAGGATCTCCTTGGACTCAGAATTAAACAAATCAAAAGTTGACCTCTGCATGGTCAGATCTGTTTGTATGGCCAACCAGATGGGAAAAGGGTCATAGCATTGACAAAATTAAGGCTTTAGATGACTGAAAAGCATGTGAAACTTTCATATTTAGCTATTTCTCCTCTGTAGATAGAAGCTCAGGTCCTAGGCTGACTTGGTTAAGGTAGCAGTGTGTTATATGTGGATATGAGGAAATAAAATTAGACGGACTTTTTTTCCCCTACTGTATCTGTTTTACAAGAACATCCTTTCTTTGCAGCTCCTCTAGGAGTTGCATTAATGTGCAACACTGTAATAGCTGACCAGTGGAAACATAAGGTACATCTACCATTAACCACGTTTTAGTTAGACTACTAGAAAGAAGACAACTACTCCCTGTTGTTAAGAAACAATGGTTGGTCGATGGTGGTACTTCTCCCAGGGATGTTAATGGTGTAGTTGAAGTGATGTTGATGTAACTGAGGACACGTTGAGAGGGAGGTTATAGTGAAGGAAGAGAAGCATGGCTAAAATCTGCGGGATTCTCTTTTTTTCCCTAGCTTAAACTTTCAGCAAATGTTTAGCATTTATTTAATAGAAAAGAATATTATCCCTTTTCAACATTTTTCTCTGATACCTTGAACTAACCATAAAGCATAAGATTTTTTTTTCAGTCTACCTAAATGGATGACATCAGTTTCTGTTTTTAATGAATAAGATTTAAAGAGAATGGAAGCAAGGAAGTGAAAATTACTTCATCTCTGTGGTGGATGTGTATAAAGTCAATAATGTGTTCATTATTTAAAGTAGTGTTATTTGAATTTACTTTTTACATTTTCTTCAGTCTTTTTCCTCTCAAGTTTTCATGTGGTGTTCTTTACCAATCAAAAAAAATTTTTTTTTATTAGTTACAGGATATTTGTGAGCTACAAACTCTTGGTTGTCTCTTGTATTCTGTTAAATGTGTCTACAAACTTACAAGAAAAAATTCCATTCATGTGTGTGGCCAGTTCAGGGTACCGGATGCCTTAAAAAGTCAGTAAGGATAGCTGGTTCCCAGATAAGGCGTCAAAATTCTTAGTATTATCTAAACTGAGGATTAAAAAGTTACAATTTTCCAAAGGTTTCCATTACATTTCCTATTCTGCCTACTGTGCATTGTACATTATTAAAGAGTACTGCTCTGACATGCCCCCCAAAGAAGTAAATTAACATTTCTTGTGAACTCTGTTCTTTTGTGAAGAAGTAATAATGACTCAAACAGCTCCAAAAGTTTTCCAGATGAATCAGAATTTATTACTTGTAAAATTAATGCCCATTACATTCACTGATACTGTGCATAAATTGTCATTTATAGGAAAAATTATCTTTTTTTACTGTTTGTTCTTATAGATAACATCTGACTTGCACAGAGGATATGGACAAATGCAGCATGTGAGTGATATAATTTGTGAGATTTTGGCTTCACATTGCTCATCATCTATTGTTGTCTTTATGTACCTTGCCTTTTGCCTCTTAAAGCAATTTTAGTTGTGATTTGTTACAGCTCTTAGAAGAGAGAGAGCTCATTCTAGCCAGTGAAAAGAAGAGTCCTGCCTTGTGCTTTGGGTCTGGCTTGAAGCCTTTTGAGTGTTACCATTTTTAGGGAAGTACTCACCTGCCAATGTGGATGTAAGCAAAGTTGCAATCGCTGCTGGTGCTTTTTGTTGGTAGTGTGAGTTTTGTTTACTTGTTTTGGGTTTTTTTTTTTAATAGATTCAATTATCTTGCCATAGTTTATACTTTCTTAAAAGTCTTATTTCTCCCTCTTGAACTAAATTCTTAAATTTTCTAGGTATGTAACTGTGCTTGCTAACTAGTTCCATGGCTGAAAGAAGACACATGCAAGTCAGGAGAAACAGGAGAAATATGCAAGTCAGATTTTATGAACTTAGAAGTACTATAACTAAGAAAATTCCTTCAAAAGACGTTCTTTCTGAAGAAAATGGGTTGGTCAACCTCTGGTTGACTACCAGGACTTGTGTGAGTTTAGGATATAACTGCTATGTTGGAGCAATTCTTTGACTTCTGCTTCCTGTCTCTAGTGTGACTAGAAAAATCAAAGTCAGAAGAAAGTGTAATAAGACATAAAGTGGGGATTTAGGCTGGTTTATAGAAACATACTTAACTCTCTGTACAATTCTCTGTCTGCATAATGGGGATAATGTATTTAACTACAGCACGAGAAGTCTGAGGATTAATCGGTTAATGAATTCATAGAACCCTGAGCATGAAAAGTGTGCTGTAAATGTTTCCCATAGAAATTTCTCCATTACCTAAAGAGAGAGGAAGAAAAAAAATCCAATTCATTGCTTTAAAGAATTGTGAAAATTCCATCAAGAACACAGATAATTAAAGTAATATTAATAGATTTTTAGGTCTTCATTTCCCCCTCGAGACCAGGTGTCCCTGATTTTTTTTCCTTTTCCCCTTCAAGTAACGTCCCTGACTCAGTTGTCAAAGACTGAGATGCAAAAGTGCCCATCTAGCTTTGAACTTGATACCTGCAGTGGAGTTACAAGGTTAAATAAATGGGGTGGTTTCTTTTTTTTTTTTTTTTTTTTTTTTAAGCTGAGCATAACACTTCAAAAAGATCTTTTCTCTCCCCCCTCCCCCCAGTGTATTTTTAGGCTGCATGCACTCCTGCCTGTGTCTGTTCCTTAGTCCCAGTTGAAGATTTCAAGGGAGATGAGGGTTCTATTTTGTTTCTCCCTTGTTTTGCAGATAGGGGGAGGAGGTGGTTATTAGAGAGAAGCACTCTCGCTCGCTCTCTCTGTTTCTCCCTCTCTGGCTGATAGCACTTATCTCTCGCTCTCTCTCCTTCTCCTAGGTGATCCATTTCTAGGCAACGTGCTGGCTGGTGCTGGAGCTGCCAGCTCTCTCTGCATCCCACCAGCAAAGCGAGCTCCAAAAGCAACCTGCAGACCATCATCTGCTTTCCTCTGACTCGCTCCGGGTACTCCTCCTCTCGCTCCTGCCCTGTCCAACCACCACCTTGCGCGACAGAGACAGCACGCTGGGCTCCATTGGCAGATTTATTTTTTTTCCTCCAGTTGTGGGAAGCGATTTTTCTAAGCGAAGGGTGGGGGGAAATCTCTGCATTACTATCTGCATTACCTTGAAGTTCACTTTGTTTTTTGGCCTCCGGGGGGGCTTTTCCTGCAGGAATCTGGCTGCTGGAAGCGGGATCGCCTGCTCTCCCAGTCGCCCGCTCCTCCCACCTCGCTGAAAGCGAGCTATTTGCTGCGGGCTCCTGGGGCTTCTCTGGCCAAGGGGGTTTGTGCGTGTCTGCTCGTGTTTGCGTGTCTGTGCCTGTGTGTATGTGTGTGTGTGTGTGAGCGTGTGCGTGGTGTGGGTTGGAAGTTGCTGTGCAGCAGCGGGACCGAGCGGATCCCTGGACCCGGCGGAAGGATGGGGATTGTCTGACCAGCAGAGGCGTCTGCTGCCCGCGGCGGCGCCCGGGCTGGATGGATTTGCTGCCGGCGCTCCCAGCAATTCTGGTGCTGCCCAGGAGCCCCCTGAAGTGACGCGGGGTTTCGCCGAGGAGAGAAGCGCTCGGAGCCCCGGGCTCACTCCCTGCCCAGCCGCGGCTCTGCGCCAACCACCGGGATTTACACGCTCCTCCGGCGGCATCTCAAACTCTTGGGCTTTCGGCGCTGCGCTGTCCTCCGCGGCGGCACCGCTTGGTGAAGAGATTTGTTGTTACAAAGCCTGGACCTCCGGAGGAGATGGAAGTTTTCTCCCTCATCCTGGTCGTGTCCGTCTGTTGGACTCGAACCTGGAAAGCGGCGATTGCAGATTCAATCATTCATATCGGTAAGGGGGTGCTGCGCCTGCTGGTGCTGCTGGACACTTTTCCAGCTCTCCTTTGCAACCTTCCCTCTCTTGGCAGGCTTTCCCCCCTCCCCCCGCAGCCCCCGCGCTCCTTTATCCCTTGCTCGCTTGCTTTTTTTATTGTTTGCTCCCCTCTTATAATTGCTTTCCACCACGTTCTCAGGCGTCCTCTTTTTCCCCTACCGCGCTGTGTAAAGGTTTCTTGTCGGCGTGGTATGTGCGTGCTTTAGACCTTGAGGTTTTGATGAGGCTGATGATCGGGGCGGGGGGGGCAGGCACTTCCCCGGTCCCTCCCCGCAGACCCTCAGCTCCAGCCTGCCTTCCGCCTGCCCCGGCTAGCCCTCGGCCGGGGGAGACCCCAAGCATCCTCGTATTTCCCACACCACCGTGACAGCCACGCAACCCCCACCCCCGTCGCCCCTTTTCCCTTCCCCTTCCTTCACACCCCCCCATCCCGCCTTCCTCTCCCGCGGCGGAACAGGTGGTTGGGCAACGTGAGCGCTTCCCCTGCCGTGGGCGGGAGGGCGGCCGCGGGGGCGGGGGGCTCTGGCCTCCCGGCACCCCCTTCCCGGGCTGCCACCCCGCCGGCTCGGTGAGCGCCTCCCGGGGCCGCGGCACCCGCGAGAAAGGCAGCGGCCTCCCCCTCGGCCGGCGGGGGAAGGGGAACGGCCGGCACAGGCGGCGGGGCAGCTCGGGGGATGCCCGAGCACGGCGCTGCCCGCGCTCCCAGCCGGAGGCAGGGCGCCCATGCCCCCCTCGCTCCCCGTTATCCTGAGCCATCTCCGGCACGGCAGCGCTCCCTCGGCGGGCTCATCCCTGGGAAGCGCCGAGCCCCGCTGCCGAGCGGCGTTTTGTTCCCGCGACTGGCGAGAGCGGGTCGCCCCCCTGCGCCGGCCGGGGATGTGCGGGGAGGGAGAGGGGGAGAGGAGAGGAGGGCGCTTCCCTCGCTGCCGCTCGCCCATCTGCAGGCACCGCACGCAGGCGGAGCGGGGGCGGGAGGGCGGCCGGCGCCGCGCTGCCCCGGGGAAGGTGCATTTGGGGGCAGGGTCCCGCCGGGGTTTTGGGGAGGTCCCCGGGGCGGTGCCGGCCCCGGCCGTGGGGCAGCTGCCGCTCCCCCAGGGGTTGGCTTTATAAATATGTCTGCCGGTGCTTGTCGTGGGGATTCGTAGCGGGTTTCTGTGAAAAGGGGAAGCGGGAAGAGCGTTTGGAAAGCCCAGCCGTCAGGAGGTTTCCTGCAGGACACCGATATTTGGGCAGAGATGAGCCAGCCCTTCGTGTAGTCCTCCCTGTCCCCGAGGCCACGAGCCACCGCTGCCCTTGGGTACCGCAACTTTATAGGGGTCAGTCCTTATAGCTGTGTGCGACTGGAGCGGCAAATATTGCACTGGGGAGGCAGCGCTCTGTGCCCTCCTTTTAAAGGGAGAATGACTTTTTTAATTCTTCCCAGTTGTAGACTGTTAAAGCGACACTAGGAGACAGTTATGTCTTACGATTTCTTTCTTAAGAGCTGGTAACAAGCGATCACATCTTAGGATTTGGGGGGAAATTTTGACTGTGTAGCAGATGAGTTTCTTTGCAATCCCCTGTCACCCATCCTCCTGGCTAAAGGAGCGCTGCTGGGCAAGCTGTGTGCCTTTGCACTAACGTCAAGGGAGATGGTAGCTTTTCTCTCCTCGAGTTAATGAGAATTTGTCTTACTTGGTTTTATATGAGGAATGCAACACATTTTAACGCGTTTTTTTTAATTAGATGCATCAACACAGTAAATCCTCATTGAAAGCAGGAAAAAACCCATCAAAACTGAAATAGTTGCTTCTCACACAATTAATTTGTCTTGAGAGACAATTAGTACAGTTGACAAGGGAATTAGCTCTTTTTATTGACTAGTTTATGTTGCCGTGAAAATGGCAAAATATAAAATTGTTACACAGAGCTTTAAATCTGCTAAAATGAACACACTGAAACTAGATGACCTGAAATTAGAACTGTTTTAGCAATACATGGGTACATAGCTAAGTATTCCAACTTGTACAGCTCACAGATGAAATTTTGGCCCCTAGTAACACCGCTGTATTTTGTGACCTGGTATTCTAACCTCCTTCTGTTTTCTTCTACTTGTACTAAGTAAACTTATGTATAAAATATTTAGACATAACTAATAAAATGTATGTATTTAACTGAGTTAACAAAAGCAGTAACAGGGTACTCTATGAACAAATTACCTACAGAAGAACTCATAAAACCAAAATTCTCAGTTCAGGGGAAACGAAGTACTACCAGAGGTGGTAGTGATGCCTTAGGCAACAGACAGAATAAAAGTATTATCTTGTTCTCCTTCTGCAGTTTTAAGATATTCAAGTGGAAAAATATTTTCCCATGTTTGGGAGGGGCAGATGGTCATAAGAAATAACACCTTACCTGTGCATAGCCTTTTTCTAATAGCACATACTTTTTTTGATATAATGCAGAAACTCTTGCTTGCCTATGTTTTATGTATTTCCTATAAAGAGATGTTTTCTATATCAAAGTATGTTATCAGTCATCTCTTAGACAATGCCAAAAAATATTACAATTTAGCGAGTAGACATTAACGACCTGCTGATGGCAGTGGGAGGGATATGGTGACTGGTATCTATCTATGATAGTGCATTTTCATATTTATGTCTTCTGTTTATAGCTTCTGCTTTTGATCATTAGAGGAGGTCTGTGTGTATGCAAGTGTGCATATTTAAAAAAAAAAGCATTTCCCTGTATCATATTTTAAACATTGGTAGAGCTGCTTATAGTCTGTACGTTTCTGCTGCCCTGCTATTGTAAATAGGAACTGGCAGTTCAGAAGGACTACATTAAGCACTCTTGTGAAAATGTTGAAATGAATCGACTGCACTGTAATTTTCGTTACCCCTATATAAAAAAGAAAGGGGCAGGGTTACCATGTCAAAACTGTGCCATTCTGTATTATGCTGCTTCTCTCAGCCCGTGCATTGATTGAGTAATTTCATCAGTCCCACATTACTTGATTGCTTAGAAGTTTCCTAATGATCTGTATGCTGTAGGAAGAATCTGAAAGTCGTGAGTGGAATGGCAATGATTCTGTGTTTTATGAGGCTATTCAAAAAGTCGCTCTGATTTATGTAGCTTGAAAGCTCCCAAGTCTTTGAGATTAGCCACGCTGCCTGATATTTTCTTCATACATCAGTCGTCCCACACTCCTCACTCCCTAAACAGGAGTTTAGAACAGTGTTTTAATTAAGCAGGGATTAGGTGGCACTCCTTGTCAACTGCACAATTTGCGTATGCTTTGTATCCTCTGCAGCTGATAGTCTCATGCTTTTATATTTTCTACTTTGTGCTCAGTATTTTCCCTTGACATGTATATAGTAATACATCTGCATGTGCATATGGGTTTTCTATTGTGCCTGTAGAAGCATAGATGCAGATGCGTGTGTTAGGTACTGCAAAATCACCTAGGGCAGCAGTCACATAATATTGTACAAAAGTTTTGCTGAAAATATACACTTAAGTATTTTTCAAAGCTAATTCATCTAGTTCAGGCTCCCTGATTACTTCAAATTGTTTTTTGTTTATCAGTAACTTCAGTTTTATGCAGTCAGTTGTGTACTGCCCGTAGCTTTCTTATTTTCAATGGCAAGTTCAGAAATATATATAATATAATATATATAGCTATATGTATTATATATACTTCTACATATATTTTTCCTCTGATTTTAATATATATTTATATATACTTTTTTTTTTTCCCTGAGAGAGAAAATTAGTTCTGTTCTTACCTTACTCCTCAGAGCTTTTAGACTTTGTAGGCCAGGACTGCTGCATTCCTTGTGTTGGACAAGTTCCCAGCATTGCTGGGTCCTGAGTTTTTGTTCATATCTTTAAGCTCTTCTGTACCACAGATAATAATATCAAGGCAGTTCTAACATAGGGTCTATTACTTGTTTCTTCTGTTGATATTAGTAGTGTCTTTAAAACGTAATTTTTTTTATAAGGGAAAGGGAGTCTCCTTGATTGGTGGTATGCATGTCCACATTTATTTTTGTAAGCTGATGTGCTACAGTGCAACTTGGCTTGCATTGTGTTGTGCATTGATAATAGGAATTTAATTTACTGTGCTGTTGGTAAAGCCTCATTAGAAGGTTTGTAGCGTATGTCACTAACTGTTCATTACTGTGCTCTCACATATATTTGTAAAGCACAGGACAAGCAAGCAAAACAGATTTTTTAAAAACAAATAAATCTCTGTGTACCTATAGTGTCCACAGAGGAGCATTCAGGTCCCAGTTTTCCCTGCCCTATAATTTTCCAAGATTTCTTGCTTATTTTAAACACACATACGAATGAAGACCTGGAATACAGTGCACTGTGGCTCAGCAGCCAGTGGGTTCTATTAAACTATGTTCTACTTAAATGCTCAGCATGTGTGACACACGCTCTGCTTCCATGTGCGTTATTTCTAAAATGCTTTCCCAGGTGATGAGACTTCTGATAGTGTTTCAGTCCCTGTAATGTGTGTACTTACTGTGTAGCTAAAGAGGGGTAACTTTGCATGCCATCATCCAAAGGCATGTTTGCCATTAGGTGTCACTGCTTTCTAGAGTGTTTCTTAGTCATCATCAGGGCCTGATCCAGAGTCTGTCATGATCCAGGTGAGTTGTTCAGTTGACTTCAGAAGATTTTAAACTGAGCCAGTGGATTGCTGACTGCAGCAGGCGGCTCCTTTTCATGTTCTTAAATAACTCTTAGTGTTATATCAGGTTCTTTGTCCTTGATAAAGACAGAGTAAAAAAACCAACCATCCATTTTCAAGTGGTGCCCTAACAAATGTCTGACATGACAATCACTGCTGCTGCTGTGTGCTTTTATATCACTACTTATGGATGCACAGAGCCTTTATTCTCACAGTGCCATCTTTGAAAAAACACACTGGAGAAAAATCTTTTAAGACTGTGACTACGTAAACCTAC